TTGTTGTTGTTGTTGTTGTTGTTGTTGTTGTTGTTGTTGTTGTTGTTGTTGTTGTTGTTGTTGTTGTTGTTGTTGTTGTTGTTGTTGTTGTTGTTGTTGTTGTTGTTGTTGTTGTTGTTGTTGTTGTTGTTGTTGTTGTTGTTGTTGTTGTTGTTGTTGTTGTTGTTGTTGTTGTTGTTGTTGTTGTTGTTGTTGTTGTTGTTGTTGTTGTTGTTGTTGTTGTTGTTGTTGTTGTTGTTGTTGTTGTTGTTGTTGTTGTTGTTGTTGTTGTTGTTGTTGTTGTTGTTGTTGTTGTTGTTGTTGTTGTTGTTGTTGTTGTTGTTGTTGTTGTTGTTGTTGTTGTTGTTGTTGTTGTTGTTGTTGTTGTTGTTGTTGTTGTTGTTGTTGTTGTTGTTGTTGTTGTTGTTGTTGTTGTTGTTGTTGTTGTTGTTGTTGTTGTTGTTGTTGTTGTTGTTGTTGTTGTCATCTATAATTTATACACTTAACCTCCTTGTGGTTCGACCCCGGTCTTGCCGGGTTATTTATTACTTCGACACTCCTGCACTTGGGAGAAGACATCAATCTTTTAGTCGTGTCACTTCTCTCTTGACAGCTTTTTTTTTCTTTTTCTTTTCCTCTTCTTCTCTGTTTTAGGCACTTGATATGCAACTAAAGGGCTGCTGGCTACTGGTCTTTGTCGCCCCTATGCTACTACTGGCTGAAGAAGGCGTCGATGCGGCTCACGGTGAAGATCGTGGGTCTATGGCCGCTAAGGTGTTGCTATGGCTCTATTGGCGTGGTGGGATTGAGAGAAGAAGACAATGTTGCTGCATGGGGAGGGGTCATTACTACTAGAAGAAGATGAAGAAACCAAAGGGAAAAAGTTGAGGGATGACCGACTTTAGCTTGCTTTTGACAAAGGGCCAAAGGAAAGCTAGTCACCAAGAGCAGGTGGGCGAAGGCTGGAATGGGAAAGAGGAAGTTCTGAAATGGCCAGGGGTGAGGGTGGAACTTTGGCTGATTTCGATAGAAGAAAAGGGAGAAAACCCTAAAAATAAGAGAGGCGGTCACTATGTTGATGACTAGGAGAGGGAAATCGGGTGAGGTGGATGCCGACTTTGTTTGGTTGGCGGGTTCAAGGAAGAAAATCACAGGAGCCAAAATAGGGGTGCAGCTGCTTTTAAAAAATATGAAAGCTTGGGTTTTTTTATCTTTTTTTTTTTGGGCAGCTGTAGGGAAGGCGAATTGGCCAAACGGAGAAGGTCCCAACTGAGGGGGATCTAGTTTTTTTATGGAAGGAAAGGGCACGACGGCCTGGAAAATGAAGAAGTGATAGGGTTTTTAGGGTTTTTTTTGTTTAGCTGATGGCCCCCCTATTAATTTTCCTCCACCACCGCAGCCTCTAAATTTTTCTCCTCCCCTTTTTTTTTTCAGTGTAGCATGGTATTTATAAGACAAGTATTGCTAGGTTTTCAAATTAGTCCCTCAACTTTTCTTTTTCTTTTTTGGTAAATTTTGGTTTTTCTTATTTTTTTGTATATTTGAAAGCAAGTGACACGATGAAAAGATTAATATCTTCGTACCAAGTGTTATACAACATAAATCAAGATTAGTTATTTAACAAGCAAAGTATTAAAGAGTGAACAAGATAACAAATATAAAACATGTTAGTATCAAACATTAAAGTCCATATTAAGTTTACATTATACTTATTCTTACACCATTAGTGTAACCTTTTCACCTTGACATAATTAACTTAGCTAGACATAATGAAAGAAAGCAAAATAGATAAACAAAATAAGAACATAAAAGTTAACTAAGTAAAGGAAAGGAAATGAAAGGCATAAACTTAATATTAATGAAAACAAAGCATAAAAAATACAAAGAGAGAAAGGAAGAGCATGATCTTGATCTGGAAACCAAGATGCCTAAATGCATGGCAAATGCCTCCTTTTATAGGCCAAAATTGGAAACTATTGATTTGATGACTAATTGATAAGTGGGTGGCCAACTTTTGACTTGGTGACAATCCTTATCTTCTCTTGTCTGCCCAAAACGTCATTGATAACGTCAAAATTGGAGCCAGTTGTAAACATGAAAGTTGTAGGTAATTGTCTCATCTTTCTTGTGTAAAACATTCAGCTCATTTGGACTTCTAGAACTCCAGATATGGCCAAAATACCGAACAGTGCTCGGGCTGGAAGACAGATTCGGGCTTCTTTGTTGTTGCTACAATTTGGACTTGATAATGGCCTTTTTAGATCTTGGGCTCCATATGAACGTTGTAGGCCTATGTCTTACCTTTCTATCCATATAAAGTGCAGCTAAATCTGAGATCTACAGCTCTAGATATGATCGAATTACCGAACAGTGTTCCGATTTGGATTGCACCGACATCTCTTTTCTAATTTTGGTCATCTTTTTGCCCTTGCAAGTTAAGTTCTTAAAGTCATCAATCAATCCTTTCATTTATGTAATAGGCCTGCATTTAAAATGAACATTTACCATAAATTAAAGGTATATTATATTATTAGATATATTATTATAAAACATGCTTTAGTTAAGGAGTTATTGATATTTCAAGTGCAAAATGATGATATAAAACCATGATAAAAATGCACTTTTAAGTACTAATCAGCAAGCAATATCGACGTCGGCTCAACAAGAAAAATCAGTAATTGTAAAATTAACGCATTAAAAGTTGAACGCGTTTAAAATACTTTTAAAAATTTAAATTCTTCTGAGATGACGTTGAAAATGCTAAAAACGATGCAAATATATCAAAAATACATTTTTTTGGGTTTTCACTTTTTTTTACTATTTTTTATTTTTTCTGAAAATTGATCAAAAACATTGGTCAAAAATTGGGTAGCAACAGATGCCTCCTCTTTAGAATGCTTACGAAGAAAAAATTCCTCAATGTTTTGCATAGTAAGCTTGTAAAGAAAATAAAAGGTCTTCATGGCTTACTGAGTGATCCACTCAGTCAAGGACTTCACTTTTTAAAAAGAAAATGGTTTTATTATCTTGGGTGACCCGCCTTTTTTGAAGAAAAATGGTCTATTTTCAAAGGTGACCTGTGCATATACTCACATTGGTCTAATTTCAGGGGTGACATGCCCACACATACTTATACTAGTCTATTTTTATGGGCAACCTACCCACATATACTCATTGTGGTTTATTTTCAAGGGTGACCTACCCCCACATTCTTATACTAGTATATTTTCACTAGCAACCTGCCTACACATACTCACACTGGTCTATTTTCAAGAGCGACCAACCCACGTACACTTACCCTAGTCTATTTTCACAAGTGACCTGCCTTTTTTATTAGGTTAACCTAAAATCTCATTTGGCGATCTCCTTTAACTAGAACAAAAATTGGTGTGTAGCTCGATCAACCTGAAATCCTATCTACTAATTCCCTTTACAAAAAATAAACTCTATATGTGGTTGGTTAACCTGAGATCCCATCTAGCAATCTCCTATAACCATAACAGATAGAAAGATGTGTGTGTGATCTCATTATGATGGGTGACCTACCTAGATGAAAGTGATGGTCTCGTTATGATAGGTGACCTACCCAAGTGAAAGATGATGGTCTCATTATGATAGGTGACCTACCCAAATGCAAGATGAAAAAAATATGAAGTGGTCTCATTGTTATGGGTGACCTATCCAGACAAAATAAAAAATGGTCTTATTATAATGAGTGACCTACCCTAGGTCTTATTGTGATGAGTGACCTCCCCAAAAAGAGTGGAAAATGGTCTCATTATTATGGGTGACCTACTCAGAAAAAATATTGGTCTCATTATAATGGGTGACCTACCCAAGTGGAAAAAAATGAAGAGTGGTCCATTGTAATGGGTAACTTACCTACCTAGGTGGAAAATAAAAAGCAGTCTTTTTATAATAGGTGACTTACTCAAATGCAAGATGGTCTCATTATGATGGGTGACCTACCCATATGCAAGATGATGGTCTCATTATGGTGAGTGACCTACCTAAAGAAAAAATGATACTTACCTAGCAAAAAGACTTGGCTAGAGAAGTCCTAACAAGATAAGGTTGACAAACTTAATGCTTCCTGATTGCGAGGTTGACTTGAAAGCTCCTCTTGATGACAAGGTTTATTTCCTCTTTTCTTTGAGATTTTCTTACTAGCAGTGTTCATCTCATTCTTTTCTCATTCCAAAATCTAAACCGATGATTATTTGTTATTATCGACTCAATGATTCTTTTTTTCCACAATCTTGTTGGACTTCATTAAGGATTTTCCTATAACAAATCACAAGCATATACAATGCTTTGAGGTTAGATGACATGCATGCATCTTTACCTGATTTTAAATATAGGTCCTTTCTCTTTGATGATTCATCGTCATAGGGTGTCTTTGTTTGCATTCCAAAGCTTTCTTTGTTTTTTCGATACATTGGCTCATTCATGTGCTAACCATCACTCAACTATAAATACAATCCTATCTTAGGTTGTCTTTGATGGTTACTGCTCTTATTGTTTATTAAGCTTGACTCTGCCTCCAAGTGTGTGTTGCTTGGTTCATCATGAATGATGAGAATTATCCTCTGATTAGTTGTGTGCATCATGCCAACACCCATCATAATGGTCAATTAGTTATGAACTTGCCTCCAATTGAAACATACCCTTCAAGTATATGCGGTCATCCACCTTCATGAAACTACCACATTATCCTGACATGCATCTCATACTTTGTAGTAAAAGGCTCATCGTTATAATCTCCAAATGCTTCTCCATAAATTTCTTTCAACTTGTCAAATCAAATCATGAAAAGAAACATATTGGCATAATCAATAATGTTCATCATCCATATTCATGTGGTGAAGTGCGCATTTAAGCTTCAAAACAGATAGTACCATAGTCAGTCTCGGTAGTGTGCTTCTTTTCTATATTCATTAGAATACAAGTGCATAATAACATTTATCGGGAATCATAACCATGTTTTAGAGGATAACCTAAGATGAAGATGTCCTTCAGATGCAACGTTGCTTATCAAGTGCAGCTGAAATTCACTAGATCATAAATTGTCAACATTACCCCTAGTAATGATTTGAATGCTCGTTCATCTGTTTATACTCAAAAAGTTTTTTCCTTTGTCATTATCAGATGTTAAACATAACTTTGATGGACTTTGACGACGATTTTAAATATAGGTCCTTTCTCTTTGATGATTCATCGTCATAGGGTGTCTTTGTTTGCATTCCAAAGCTTTCTTTGTTTTTTCGATACATTGGCTCATTCATGTGCTAACCATTATCTAATTTTTTTTCTTTGTCCCCAAATGATCTGAATATTGCTTGTTTTTCTTCTCAGGGTCCACCATATTCCTCCCTAGGTGGTCAACTTTTTAAGGAGTGTCGAGAAATGTTGATGTTATTTTTGTCAAGGATTTTGTAAATTTGATCGATATTCTTCTTCTTCTTTTTTACAATCTTTCTTGTTTTGGAATCAAATCTTATATTTAAAAGATCATGTTTATTCAAGTCTAATTATTGAAATGAAATCAAAGAGATGTCTGTTTTTTAAAGTGTTTTTTGAAATTCAAACTTCTGTGGTCAAAGACCCAACACACACTATTCAATGTAGTCCTTTAATTGTCTTGTATTTTGAAAGCAAAAATGACCTGTTGTAAGATTAAAATAACTTTTTTCATGGTTCTTTATGTTTGTTTTAATCTTTGATCTTGAATATATCTTTTCATGGTCTGCGATGAGGTGACCTTCTATGAATTTCAAAAAATAAAACACTCAAGTCAAAACTTAAGGATTCATCAAGAAATATTGTTTTCTTTTTTAACCCTAATTTTATTAGCATGCATAATAATAAATAGCTTGATTCATGAAGTCATAATCCTTATGGAACAACTCTTCAAGTTTTGAGATCACCATTTATCGGTTCAGATTGCTTACTTAATTAAAAAGGGCTTTTAAAAGCACATAATGCAAGCTATGGCTTGTGGCTATGAAAGAAAGACATTTTACAAGCTCAAAAGGTATTTGAGGATTTCAAAAACTTAGGATCAACGTTAACTATTAATCAACTCTCTTTCTTTTGTTGTCATTGTAAAGAAAGTGACATATAACCTTGTTAATCTAAAAGATAAGAATTCTCTTAACATAGGTCATAATGCAAATCCAATTTTTTTTTTATGAATAATCAATCTAAATTTTTCTTTGAAGACACTAAAGGCTTTATCTTAGGCATACCAAAAGACATGAAACTTGATTTTTTTTGTATTGATTTTTTGCATTTGCTATGTCTTTCCTCAATTGAAATTTCTTTTGCTCCTCTTAGAAATGATAGACATTCTCCTTCTTTTTGTTTTTTTTTTTTTGTTTTTACATAGCCTTCCTCAAAGTTTTTTTGGATGGCCCTAAATCTATAGCTTTTCTTCTTCTAGACCTTTCTTAATCATTGGACTTTTATTCTATAAATCTATGGCTTTTCTTCTTCTAGCCCTTTCTTAATCATTGGACTTTTATTCTA